ATTATATTGTCCGGACTCCGGAGTCTTGTTGTCTCGTTTTTAGAACGGTCTTTCAGTATATTTGCCTGAATGCTTTTTTTTAAATGTCGTGATTGTGTTCTGTGGTCATGTTCATCAGGGTCATGCATATGTTCCTACAACTCAACAATTGTCTCATCCGCAAACATTTTAGCAGAGTCTTTGCAATATTTGGTTTTGCAGATCAAATATCTGTTAATATTAAAATATAAAATCATAAAAATTGAATACAATAATAAGATGATTTTATTTAAACTTACCGAACACTCTTATTTTTATGGATGCCTCCATTATTTTTATAAACAAAACCGTTTTTAWTGTTTTTATTCATATTTTATTAATTTCAAACAAAATTAATCCAAAAGTCTTCATATAAATAAAATATAAAATTATAAATACTAAACTCATTACTCATATAATATATTATCAGTTACAGGGCAACTAATAAGTATTTATTTTATATTTAGATATTATATTATTATTAGGATTTATTAGGACTAAATAATATTCTTTATTGAATAGTTCATTGGTTCATTATCGATATCGTTTATTGAGCAGCAATTATTGGAAAACACAATTTAAAAATATAACCTATAGTTGATTTTTCGCGATCAGGCACACGGTCTTTTGGACCGTATATTAAGAGAACGCTATACCCGCATGTGTTGTCTCCGTCTTACAAATGTAAAACATTGCAAAAACTGTTTTGCACGAGTGAAAAATATTTATTCTGTACCATTAATTTTATTTTTTCGATATCAGAACTAAAAAAAAAGTTATTCAAGTATCAAGTTTGAAAAATTAAAAAATAATGAATTTTTAAATAATAAGTATTTTTTTTATGTTGCTGATATCGAAAAATTAAAAACAACGTTGCGCAGTACATATTCTTCTCTTTATAGTGTGCTTAGTTTGGATTACAACTTGAGTGGTCTTTCCCKCGCAAAACAGCTTTTGCAATGTTTWACATTTGTAAGGCGAAAACAACACATGCCACATGCGGGTATARCGTCCTCTCAAGAGGTAATTTCTGGTAATAAACTTTGAACACATATATTACTGACATCAGAATATCAGATCGTTTGACTTCCAATATGATATTATAAACTAAAATATAAAATTGAATATGTAAGATATTAATATTTTAAAATTCTCATAATTCACTTAAAAATTAGAATATTGTAAAAAATCTACGTGAGAACACAAATAATGTTCTTACCTAAAAGTTGGAAAATAGGTSAATTCACTTAAATATCAAAACTAAAAGTATACTTTTGGAACAGTTCTATACTTTTATCTTAGTCCATTACAATTTAATACCTATATAAGTACGTATAGATAACTAGATTTTTATCTGGATACAGATACAATTATAAGGCCTGGAATTTTAATGCCCTAAAAATAACAAAAAAAAAATTGTCGGCTTATGTGTATAATAAAAACCTCTCAGTAAAACCATTCTAATCTGTATAATATAAATAGATACATGCGTATAAAATATAAATTCAAGCATATACATTAAAATAAATAATTACATACTATATAATTTAATACAATTTAAAAATGTACTTATTGGAGTAGATTTGGGGAATAATCTGGCATCTGCGTGTACGTAAAATACTCAAAATTGCAAACTTCAATAGTTCATAAGTTATAACCTTGGAACTAAGTCCGACCGACAAATTCTGATTGCACCGTTGTACTAACTCGTTGCAGTATACCAATAGGTTTCCGAAAAAATTCCCGAAAATCGAGCTAAACTGGCTACTATTTCGAATTGCGGAAAAAAAATCCCCCGACGAACGACCATGGAAAAAAATCCCCAGGCCGCAATATTTCTCACAACCTCATGAAAATGGTTGAACATTGAACATATATTTTTAAACGTTAATTAACACCTACTCGCAGTAAAAACATAGCATATAAAAATATTTCGAATAATTAATGCGTCAATAATACAAAATATAGATAATAATAATANCACAAAACATCTGCACACAAAATTGTGCATYCAAATTAGATTTAACAAAGTGTGTTAATCCTCTTGTTCTGATATTTTTGACTAGTGCCTGAAATAACGAGTGAAAATAAACAATACTGCTTAAGATTTACCATACTTACAAAATAAAAATAATCTAATAAAGAAGTTTAAACTTTGGCAATGAATTATTTATAGATTAATTATTCAATTTTTTTTCCATTTATCGATTAAATGCCAGTAGTATAATATATGGAAAAAAAATTGTAACTATTAATATATATTAAAACAATTTTTATTTAAGAGGATGCTACATCCAGATGCGTTGTCTCTATCTTACAAATTCAGAACATACTAAGTTRTACATTCTGAATAATCTATTTAACTCAGTTATGATTAAAAAGTGTATTACTTATTTGTATTCAAAGGGCACCGCCCATTAATTATCAATAAATAAATGAATTATGACTACATGTTTAAATAATCATTAAAATACCTGTAGGTACCTACATAATGGAAAAACAAGAATGCTGATCTGCATCTGGATAAACAGATTTAAAAGCATTCAGCAACCCAGATTCAAAATCAGTCATTATATTTGCTGGCATTATAAATGGAAATAATCCTTTGCACTTGCTTAATAATAGAGTATATATGCCTCTTCAGTCTTTGATTCCATCAATGCATAAACAATCGGTATGGACTAATAAAATATTAGAAATTATCAATGTATATACTTACTAAAAAATGGTTAGCTTTAATTAACAAAACTCACGTGGTTTTGGTATATTAAATGCATAATAAAAAGTTGACGGCTTGGTGGAGTTGAAGGCACAACTTTAAAAGTTGCGTCAGCAAGCAATTCATTACTACCCAAGAATAACAATTTTTC